ACCAATAATTTCTTGAATTACAAAAAACCCTACCTATGACTGCACAAATCCAACAGCTTCTTCCTCCCCTCCACAATCTCATCAAAGAAATCGTCGAGCTGCCCGATTATATTCTCCGTCCCGCCCCTCAAAATTGCAAAATAGCCCCTCAACTTTTCAACCCTTTCTCTTATACCCACCTCCGATTCCCACTCCACAATCCCTTGTGAACACCTCCTCTCGAGCTCTCCCTTCAGCTCGTCCATTGCAGCCCGTGACCTCCTAAACTCGTGCAGAAGAACCCCACATTGGGCCGAGGCCCGGCCCATTTCGGCATCAACTCTCTGCTGAAGCCGGGCCATGGATATCATGAAGGCCGACCCGAAATATAGGCACCCTTGTTCGTACCCATTTATGTTTCTCAGCGGGTTAGATGGGTCGGGCCAAGAATAGACGAGCCCACTAAGCAAGACCATGAGAAGAAAGGAGCTGACGTGTCGCATGGCGTAGAGGACACCTCGGAAGCCATTGAACCCGTTGAGCCTCGACTGTATTGACATGTTCTCGTCGAATTTTAGAAGCGTGAGGGGTTCAATTCGTGTCTCCATTAAGGACCTGTTTTCTTCTTCAAGACCCACAGCTTCCCTTCTGCATGCTGATATTGCTCTGATTACCTGTTTTAAGATTATACAATCAAATGTGTTGGTACTTGGTACACAATTAGGAATATTGTGAAAGGAAGTTATGAATGAAAATGGGTTAATTTATGATTGACAAAATAAAGTAACATTAAACCTCCCAATAAGATATTGTAAAGAAATTTGGATTATTTCAGAAAGCTTCTTCAAAATTGAGCCCAACTTGTCAAAAACAAAAATTTAAGTAAAAATGTATATCCTTCAAGTGCTGAAATAGATATCCTTAAGCTTTATCAACTTTACCTTTGTAGGGTGTAAATGGTGGAGCCTGAGCTTGAGTTTTTAACCATCAAGTGAATCAGTAATCGAGCTATAAAAAATTATATAAAAATTTCACTTTTCGAACATTAACGAGCCGAATTACAGAAGTTAGACGAGCGGCTCTTTTAGTTCATAGTTCT